GCCAACAAAAGGGCCACTGTATAGAAATCAGAATTTGTTCGTAATTTACGTCAGCTTTGAGCATACCACAGCGTTTTGAGTGTTTCGAGAACGCTTGTGTACGCTCAAAACGCTGGACCGGTACCTATACTTTACCTACTTCCTCAAAACGCTGCCGCACGCTCAGTACGCTGACGCAAAGTATGACCACACTCTGAGGGAATACCCTTCCAGTTTTCTTCGTGTCCCATTGCGAACGGTGGAATCACATGTTTGAGATATCCTTCCCCTGCCATTTCTAATCATAATCCACTTGTACTTGACGACTTCCTTATTCTCTAAGATTAGCCTGCTTTATTACTTCAGTCCGTCTAACCTTGGACTGAGGACTGTATTGGGATGAATAACTATTTTGCACGAGCACAGTCAAGAGCTTTAGTTCAAACATTTGCGTTTATGGGTATGCGAGAAGGGCTGGGATGCATAGCACGAAGGCAACTGGCTTTTATACGACACGATTTGAAGGCAGCTTTGTAATTCTTTGCACTTTACGAACTACCCTGAACTTTGAGAGGCCTATAGATTTGCACACTCTAGAACAGTGGTAATTCGCCTTTCAGCGATCTAAAACAATGGTTGTAATTCGCCCATTAGCGATTAAAAGATGGCGGGGAAGTGGTCTACGGTAAGAGGTGAAAACGACAAAGCTTCCCGCAGCTGATCAAAACTCTTCTGAAGGTGCGCCATGCAATCTACTTCCAGTCAGAATCGTTGTGGTAATTTGAACGCGACTTGACTTACATTACATACTAACTCTTCGAAAGAGCGTGGGAGGTAGGGGAGGGGTATAGCCGATGTACAGGTCTGTGCTTTTATCTTCCGGACGGGTCTTGTACTGATTCATCTGCCCGGAGGGATGGAAAGCTCGGCTAGCTCTGGTGAAAGACGACCCGGGATTCGACCGCTGGATACACAAGTATAAGCGACGCTACCTGCAGTAACACCACCTCTGCCTGTAGTGGGGCAGGAGGGGTGAGCGGGTTTAGCGGTGCACGATATGAAAGTAAATAGCTGTCGCATGCCATGGCATGGATTCAGAGCAACTAAAAGCAACTTTAGAACCCTTTGTACGCAACCCTCCTGTACTTCGAGATGAGCATCGATTTTGCACGTGCATAAGCGAAAGCTGTAGTTCGCTTGCCTATCTGTGTTCATGGGACGCTGCGGGGGTGAAAAGTGGAGGGGGGGGGGGGAAGCTGTGCAAGCATACTTTATACTTCAGCTTCCGTTCTCTTTCCGCTCGACTGAATTATCGGCTCATACAGGTCTTTAATATGCCCAATAAAAAATGGTCCCCCCTTTTTTACACAGGGCTGTAGCTGAAGCGACACACAATAGTGATAGCGACGCCAGACTTTCAGGAAGAAAGGGGGGGGGGAGGGGAAAGAAAGATTTTAGCAAAAGAAAATCTGCTCTTGTCAAAAATAACACTCGAAAATTCGCTAAAAAAATACGCTCGAAACCAACCCTGATTCCTCCTACTCAACCGAGCGATCAAGCACATAACCTGTCCTAGGATATTTCCCACAGAGCTCTATCCCACGAAGACAAACCTATAAATCTAACCAAACTATGCAAGGTTTTTGTGTTTCTAGCGCATCTCTGTACAGTGTGACCTTCGCTCCGCAAAACCTTCGTGTCAGCAACCGCCAGCAGAAAAAAATTATCTTGGCTTCGTAAAACGATGAAAGAAAAAGGCCGCAAACAGTTCCATAAGGTGCCTGCCGTCTAAGCAATTCACCACCGAAGTACCTCATGATTAATGGTCCGCAAACAACAGAACAAGTGACTGCGAGCTTCTCTCATAGCATTTGACACCGAAGTCCATCAGGACAGGCTGACTTCAATTTGATGCTGGGTAGAGCCTAATTCAGCTGATTTTGCTAGGGATCCCATGGAATCGAATGCTTGGACTATGTCCACACCTTTTTCGGTTTTCGTACGACATTTGTAGTCGATAACCACTCTA